GAATAGGCAACATGTGAAAAGGAAACTAAAGGAATGAGAAAAACATCACTTTACAAACCTTAAGACTTAATAAACAAAAAAATTGATATTTTGCATATGAAAGCATTGTAATGTTTACTGATAATCTGCCAAATTTCATTAACATACACTTAACAATTTAAAATTTATAGCATGAAAAACTAACAAGCACAAAATGGTTACGAGGTCAGTCCCAGGGACCGAGCCCATGCTGAAAGAGTTAATAACCTTTGAACACCTAAGTTAGGTGCTTATAAAAGTCTCTTAGATTGTAAGAGAGATTTGAGACCACGATCAGCAACAGATAATATGCAGCAGCCAATTTTTTTTCTAGGCCATCCCTATATACTAAGAACTAGTGGGCTTAGTGATAAAATTCCTGAAGGCATGATGTCTGGTGAAATATTAAAAAGAAGATAACATTTTGACTGACATGTAAACCTATGCTATTTATTCTGAGGAGTAGAAGAACCTAACTCATCTGTACAAGTTCATTTGGTTAAAAGAAAGTTTTCTTGTAAAAATAAGCATTTCCATTCTGAACACAGATTCTAAGTAGACAAATATTACTACTACTGACATGTATGTAAATAACAAGATTTAGTCTAATTTATGTTTTATTCAATTACTTACTCTCATTTTCCAAAATTAATATCAGAAAATGAAGAGCATTGCTGCACATCTTTTTAATCACAAAAACTATCTTCATAAAGTTTCAAACTAAAATAGGAATTTACCTTCTATAGCTTTAGTAGCAGTATCTACTAAGCTGGGCCAATCAATATCTCCAGTTTCTGGGAGGGGCATGATTGATTGAAGGGCAGAAGATGGAAGAGGTTTTAACTTACCAGGAACCCTGTCTGACATAACCCTTGGAGAGAGTCTAGAAAACAGTAAGGTTTAAGCTGTAACAAATACAATTCATACTTATTGTGCTAGTTAGCAGGCTTAAGCGTATGATGGAGTGATCTGATCTGAAATACGCACAATATTTCAACACAAATTTGAAAGCAGGCCTTGATTTTCTACATGAAAATTTCATTCATTGTACAGAATCTAAATTTAAATAATACATTTCACAGTCTATAATAAGATTAACTCAAACTACTCAAATAACTTAAAAAAGAGGCACCTGAAACAAGAAAACAGTATTTATTGTGTCATAGATACTTTATTTTTAAAGCTTGAAATTAAATAATCTAGCAAACATTTTAAATTTGATGTTATGGTTTTGATGAAATTGTATATCCTAGTAAAGCATAAATTTCATAATCGCAAAAAATTATAATAAAAATATATCAATACTTTTAAATTTGTTTTGTTTTTAAGCTCAATTCTAAACAATGAGCTGACTGTGCTCTGCCTACGGTGGGCATCAAAATGCAATATTTATCATAATTAGCCCTTGATCAAACTACTCAACCAATGAAGCTATTTCTAGAAAGTTTGTAGTCATACTTCATAACATTCTTCAAGAAGGCATTACTACAGTAAACATTAATACATAAGCAGCATGAACACTTCATTTAAATCTATATCATGCTATATTTGTAATTTTTATCTAAAGAAGACCAGAAACCAAAACATTGTAACTTATGTCTAACCTTAAGATTAATACAACATGTCTAAACCTAAGAACCAACCATTTCATACACAATTTCCTGACCTTTCTTCTTTTGACATTTTGATTTCTGGATGGGATGACAGAGAATATGGTTCAGATGAGATCACCTGGGCTGGTTGGGCTTTGGTTACAATTACATGATTCTGATGATCTGCTTTTCCACTACTTCTTCCAATACTATTCTTCTGGCCACTTCCACTACTTCGTTCTAAAGATGAGTAGGGTGTGGACAGCTGAGTATGGGAACCACTCTCTGAAGGCACAGAGTCTGGACGAGAAGATGCAGCCTGGGATAAAAGCAATGCTTAGCTTGATTATTTTCTCAAATTATTAAACTAACAGCTTTTCAAAACTAAGATACTAACATAGTTGTCAATGCTCATCTTCTACATAACTTTTCTATTTTAACATAGTCTATCACCATGAGCTTGGTCATTTTGACTGACCTTGCAACCACCATGTAACCACAACAGTATCCATACTATAACTTTTAACATATGTGTCTCTTCACAAAACTTAGCAAGCTTTTAGTTAATATTACAAGTTTTTGTACATAAAAATCAGACTTTGTAATTAAGTATTTTTTACTAAAGATTTGTCTGCAAATATATAGTCAGAGTGTGACTAGGACTCTGACTTGTCTGAGAGAAAGATGATTGTCATGTTAAGATTAAAAATACTTCTTTTTTATCTTGCATTTTTTAAATTTCATTTGCATAACCTCTAAAAACTCCTAAATGATCTGTTTATTCCTCTACCTTAACACTGTATGGACTCGATTGATTTGACCAATTTGGTAACCAGCAAATAAAAAAAAAATCTAAATTACCCTTTTCCCTTTCCAGAATAACTGCATATTGTAACAAAAAATTAGAATTAATTATCTTACAGCTTAATGCTCTTAACAGTTTACATTTGCTTTTGTGCAATTTTATTGTTTTATTGCTCTTTTACCTGTGTCTTACTAGCAATCCCATGATGTAAGTCACACAGCAAACATGTAGTTCAAGTTATAGTATTCAATGATGTAATGCACAAGCTAGTTGCCAGCATACTTTGTGGAGAAATTTCATTTTATTTTTAATTACCTAACTTAATAAGTTTTTAAATATTTAATTATTATTTTTTTGCTTTCATAACAATGCATTAAAAACAAGAAATTTAGTACTTATATTTGACCTCTTGTTTACTTGCATTCAGCCTGCTAATGAAACTTAAACCTTTTTTTTTTGTAATGATGGTACTAGTATATGAAGTAATTATTTGTTCCAGGTATGCTCTTAAGAACACAAAATAATAACATACACAAATCAAACAATATTCTTTAACTGTTTTTCTAACTAAGACATAAGTGTCTTAAAATAATTCTCTTAGCTACTCAATCTCTACTAAGAACAAGGTAGCATTATATGTACTTTGGTACATTACAACTCTGTAGATGATGTAATAGCAAACATCGGAGAGAATTATTGGCAATTTGTGAGAGTGAGGATGTAATGAGAAGGTGTGGCAAGTGGGTGCGACTTTTTGGTTTATATCTGCATAAACAAAGAAGAATGAAGGCCACAAAATTAGACTGTGCCTTAGTAATATCTATACTATAATGCATAATTGACATTAAACTCAGGACTTGGTAGAAGAGTAATAGAAAATGGGAAAGTTGAAACTAATAAATGTCATATTCACAAACAAGGGGAGATTTAGAAGTTATTTAAATACTTCTTTTTAAATTAAGAAATTAAAACTTGTATAATATTAACATTTGATTTATTTACTACATTTTAATGCAAAGTTCATTCATATACATTAATAATAAATTAGTTAGATTAATTTTTAAAATTAATTCCATAAAAAGTCATGACATGTCCACTTTGACCTACCCATATTGAGAAAGTTAAGATAATTCTGAAGCAATTGGGTGTTTTTACATAAATTTTACAATTGCTTCAGTATTTTTAGTGTCAGGAGAGTTTAAGAAAGAAGCTAAAGAAATTTAGGTTTCTAGGTGTGGTACATGTACATGAAGAAATGGCATAAGTAAGGATGCCTGTATTATGAAATAAGGTCAAGAACTAGGTGAAGCATAGTTAGTTAGTATTGAGAATCATGAGTAAAGAGTTATAAAAAATAGAGCTTATGCCTAGCAGCCCAGTAAAGATACTGGGCACAAGTTGACAGTGACAAATTACTGACACCAATCTAGTAGTACAGTAAAGGCTACTACAAAGTCTATGATAGCATCTGAAATCGGTACTTTGATGTAGGATTCATTACTACAGCCTTATGTAGTAGCATAAGTAAGAAGGCAATCGAAGCACTCACCATCATAGTAACCAATTACTTGAGAGTTTTGGTTCTTGTTTTAAAAATGCCCGATGAGTTGCAGAAATTAGCCAATTAAGTGTCAGAACTACTTGCAGATAGTTAGGAATACTATTTGGAAAATTGAAAGGATACAGAGAAAATATAATATAAAAACACATATCTGGAGCTGAAAATCAGTTCTCCAGGACGGATCAAAAGTTCTCCCAGGGCTAACAAAAGATCTCCAGGGACTAGTAAGTTCTCCAGGACAAATTCTCCAGAGGCTAAGTTCTCCCAGAATTGACAATGATGATGGTATCTAATCTACAACGATACACCAGCTCAACTTTGATGTAAGTAGAAATGCTATTTCTCTTGTTCAATCAATGTAGTTTTGGATAAGATAGTAAGATAATCATATAAAGGAAATTAATGATTGTAACAGAGTGAAATATTTTATATGTGAGCAGTATTGGTCAATAGTGTTTAAAAGTGAAAGTTGGATTGTTCAGAATTAACGGATTATTAAATGTTTAACTGTTGTCATTAAAAGTGTATGTCATTGTAAGAACTCAAACAAAAATGATGCATTTCGTTGAATATCAGTCTCAGAATCAGTTTCTTTAGTATAACCATAAATCTCCTCAAATTAGCAACTTGTGAGCTCCACTCACCACTGCATTCCTCAAATAAATAAATTTGGTGTAATAGGCAGTAAAGTCGAAGCTCCAACGATAAGCCCCAAGGGCACTGCCCATTACAATTCAAAATTTACAAAATATGAAAATAAATTAAATCCTATTATTACATACCTCACTGTTACTGTCACTGTCCAAAAATTCTGGACTGATAAGCTTTAGCAAGTCTTCTTGCAATGTACTGCTGCTTGCCGTGCTACTTCCACTACTTCCTGGACCCCCTGATTTGCCACTTCGAATGGCACCTGATGTGACTCCAGGTCGCAAACGACTCAGCTTGATATGAGCTGGTTCTGAGAATGTTCTAATTGTTAAAGAAATCTTTTTCATTATGTAATCTTGGTCATTAAATAACACAATGTTTCATTTCTTTTAAATTATAAGTCATATACAACACTTTAATAGCTACTGTTCTGTACAAACAAGCAACCACATCTTAGTTAAAAGCAATTTAATCATTAAACAACTTAGTAAAAGAAAAATACACATTAGAAATAAAATAAAACAATGAATGTCTGTTTCAAACATCATGTTTTTGAATAAAACAATTAAACACATAAAATATGTAAACAAGTATAACACAGCTAAAAATGGTATATGAAAGAAGTAAAAACAAATGTTAATATTTTACAGAATCAAATTTAATGATACATACTGAAATATTTATTTGCAAAACTTTCAATAAAATCAAATACAACTTTAAACAGCAGAACAAACAATGAAGAAAGTACAGTCAAAATCTGTTATACTGATATAAAATTTGCACATAACTGATTATAAAATTTAATCCTTTCCATTTATCATCTCAAATACTACATATTGGCTACAAATGAGACTCGAAACTTTGATCCACAGCACTTGATAGTGAACTTAGAGAAGAGTTTCTAAAGCTTCCAAGTATATATTTTGGTGGTCTTCCAGCTGATTTTATAAGTTTTTTTCTTAAGTAAGAGTGTGAGCTTGAAGACCTCAATTTTACCATAATGGTGTCATAAAGAATCCAAACATTCTTTCAAGATCTCAAATAATGTGTGTTTGTTCTTGTATGGGAAGGCTTTGTGAAGCATACTCATTGCAGTTTTTGAACTTACTTTTGCCATTTAAAGTGTCATACATTTTGATATAAATCTTATACAACCTCAATCATAAAGACACCACCATTTCCTTTGAAGTTGTGATGATTACGTCCATGTTTTTTGTAATTCTAACAAAGTAGAAAACTGTTCCTTGAAACTAATGTGAGGCTGAAATTTAGAAGTGTAATTTGAAAATCAATGTAAAGCTGAGCTGGAAATGTGAGTCTGAAAATAGAACTAGACACATTAGGCTTTACATATTAGAGTTTGTTTTTGAGTGTCAGTAAAAATAACCAGAAAAGTTAAAAATGACATAATCCAGGTGATTGGAAAAATAAAACCACTCATATACTCACACAGATAGTGAATTTTGTTCTCAAATGTTTTCTTGTGCCACAGTTAAGTAGAATAAAATAATGTTGTTCGAAGTGGTTTATCACATGCAAGAAGTCAATGTAGCATAAAGGTTAAGAATAAAAGAATAATTCATCACTTCATCACAGAGATTTTTTCTTTCATTTCTAAATAAAATCTTGAAATAATAATATTGTTAGATCATAAACAATTATCATTAGATATATGTTTAAGTGAAAAACTCATAACCGAAAAGAAATCCTGGGACCGAGACTTGAATTTAGCACCTCTGACTAAAAAGGCCAGTGAGCTACCCAGGAATACAATCTCCACAATGTTCACTTATAAAGCCTCCCACAATGAATATTATCACCATACTATGTTATGATTGGTACAAGGACCAAACCATAGAAGCCTATCATAGACTTACGTAATTTCTTAAATTTTGTAAGAAAATCATGAAATAGTAAAATATTTAATAAATAACTGTAAGTCTATGTTAGACTTCTATGACTTGGTCTTTGTACCTATTATAACATAGCATGGTGATCACAGTGGAAAGTTTATAAGTGAACATTGTCGAAGACTGTTTGCACTCCTGGGTAGCTCAATGGTTAGTGCAATGGCCTTGTTATCCAGAGGTCTCCAGTTCAAGTCTCAGTCCTAGAGTCTCTTTTCACTTCGAAAATATATCCAGTATTAATTTCTAAGGAAATGTAAGTTGACTTATTTATATTTTCTTTGAGCCTAGATCAGCTGGAATTTATTATGATTAACTAACCTTCCCGTTAAGTGAGGACTCCGTGAAATGCTGCTATTACTACTACTACTACTACAATCTGTGCTCAAGTCTGCTCTGAAGTGTGGAATACTTTTAGGTGGTGTGCTCCGGACACTGTTGCAGGCCAATTCTTCTGGAAGTATGTACAAGGTCATTGTTTACTAACTACTTTACTTTCTAACTTTTTACATACTTAAAGGTAAACATTACCAAATCATCACAGAGATGGTGTTTGCCTAGGAAAAATGCATTTATCATATTAATCATTTATTCTTATAAACATTGTATTGAATTCTCCTGCAGACATTGACAAATCTTTTTATTCATATTCTAATGGCATGATACAGAAACAAAACCATAGGATGTATTAAAACACTGCTTTAAAGACCAGCTTCACTAGAAACTCACCTCTTTACAATTGTACTTTTCAAGAATTGAAAAAACATCTGCATTATTACATTTTATATAGTTAGGTACAAGACAATTAAAGATTACTTCCATTTGCAAGCATTACACATATTTTAATACAATAAAATTAAATAAAAAGAATTCAATAGTGATAAACTCAATTCATACTAATACTTGGTACTGGAAGCATAGTTCCTGAAAAGTCTTTCTTTACACAGAAAAACTGAGAAATTTGTATTATAACTTTTTGATTACTGAACAAGTAACTGCAAACTTGGTAGAAACAAAGTGGACAATTAATTTTACAAAGAGCTTTGGTTTATAAAAACATAGAAACTTTTATTTACAAATATGTTGTCTGCTTGCAGATCAATTCTATTAATTCTACTGATTAATTATACTACTACAATTATATACATTTCACCAAGTTTACTGGCACTTCAACTGATCAAACATGTGGTTTTGAAAAAGAAAAAAAAAAGGCTAAAATGAAACTAAAACCATGTTTAATGTGGATTACTTATGTTAAAGAAAGATGTGCTATAAATGTCATTAAACAACAAAAAAGAATATTTGTAGCAGTTTGAATAAATGGTTCATTTATACTAATGCTTATATTTACACTACTGGAATTATAGATAAAAAAATATATTTTATTGCATTGTCATTTCACAGTTAGCAGTAAAACACTAGACATCTGCAATAATGTTCATTTTTGAGCAGTGATATACTGACTGGGAGGGTATTTGGGGTCATGTCACTTAGATATTAAAATACACTGATTACAAGTTTATCATAATGTAATGCCATAATATTATCTCATTGGTGTTTTACAGACTCAATAAAAGGCAAATTTGTTCATATAAACCAAGAATATTTAATACCTGAATAGGGAAAAAAAAAGATTTCAATTTTACAGAAAGGTTGAACAATTTGAATGGCAAAAAAAATATTGATAACTGAAGCAAAGTTAGTATGTTGGTCAAAAGTTGGCCAAGTTGCATCTCATGCTCCTCCAGCCAACACTACTTTGGCCCATCTCTCTTTACAAAGACAAATTTGTACCACTACATACTCTTTAAAATATGTTCATTTTACATTTCACAACATGAGCATAACTTTGTGGTTATATTAAATCTTGAGATATTCTCAAAATATAGGAGTTAAGATCTTTTTAGTACATGTAAAGTTGCAGTTGCATGAGAAAATATCAAGTTATTAACAGTTAAAGAAACATAAAAGCATAGACCAGTAGTTTCCAAACTGTGTGTCACTGCAAGTTACTAGGAGTGTTGCTATAGTTTCACCAAACAAAGAATAATTAAAAAACATTAAAAAAATTGCATGTCGCAGTAGGGGTGCCATACAAATCAAGGTAAGTGGATTAGGGAGTCGTCAGTGAAAAAAGCTTGGAAACCATTGGCATAGACTGAAAAAAAAAAAAAGACTGATTACAGTACCAGCACTGCTTGCTCCTTGCAACCACTCATTTGAACTGTCTGACTGGTAATCGGAACCAATTTGGTGTGGAGATACTTTCTGAGTCTTTCTAAGCCTCACTTCTCTAGATATAGTTGGAGATTCCTTTAATTCCACAACAGTGGACTTCATTGAAGAAGAGTTGGCTGAGGAACAGACTAAAGCTGTGGATAAGGGAAGATGATGTAGTTGAGTCTGAGAAATCCCAAGCTGGGACAAAGAGAGCTCACTTCTGGAAACAACCATGTCTCCAACATGTGTAAGGGAGCTTTCTAAGTCTCCATGATCATGAGCTAAGGCAGCTGGATGACAATGTGTCCCGTGACTAGAACTGTGATGGCCATGAGAGGTGGAACTGGTGTGATGTCGTGGTGGGGTGCGAGGCGGTACAGGAAATGATAAAAGCGGACTGGATGCTACTTGGTGAAAAGCAAAGCTAGCTGTGGACTGGAAACGCACAGGAACAGGAGGAGGAGGAGGAGATTCTCTATTACCATTTACTGTTTGTGTCTGATGTTCAATACAAGTGTCTCTGCTGGAATTCTTTTCATTGTGGTTCCCACTCCCCTATAAAACATCAAATACTTCAAATAAACAATTTCTTTACTATAAACAGAACTAAAAAGTGAACATTCTTTGAAGTTTTTAAACATTCAAAGTCTGAATTATTTAGTAATCTTATTCTGAGTTTATAGTGCATGTTAAAAATAAAAAATCTGATGTTTACATAAGTAAACTTCTTTTAAGGAATATACTTCTAACAACCATTATAAGTTACTGTTGTTATGTTACATCAGTAGCATTATAAAAGAGCAAACACAGAGAACCTTAGTGGTGTAAGATTTAACAAGAAAATTACTGCCATAACATGCATGCAACTTATGAAATCTAAAGAAAATATTTTTGGGCAATTACATTTCTTAATCATCAATGTAAGTAAAAAATAAGTAAGTATATTCACAAAGGCACACTGCTATATAGAATATTACAAAATATAATTTTCAGTACTAGTAGCAGAAAATATATTATCACTGTTCTTTCTGTAGGATTGTTCAAAACTTTAGTCACTTATGAAAGAAACTCAATGACATTCAAAGCTGTGATAGTGACAAATGAAGTACTTTCAAATTCTGCTGCAAATATTTTTTTTAATGTGTGTGTGAAATAAAAATAGAATAAACCAATAATCAATGTAGGCTTATTGGCAAAAGAAACAAATACAATTGTATAAACCAAATATTCATTTGAGTACAGAATTTGTTTTTTATACTATAAGTTGTTTATATTTGTAGTTTGAACAGAGACATACACACACACACCCTTAAGGACAAACTTGTTGCAACATCTACACTTTATCCTTCAAAGTGAACACTCAATATATATATGGTTAACCCATTAACTGTGGCAGGAGTAGCTCAGTTGCCATTTTCTGACTCACAGATAAAACTGAGTTGCCATCAATCACAATGAAACGGTAATTATCGTCATTCGCATAGAGTTATAGTTATATATGCGTGACTGACGGATATTTCTGTCATTCGCAGCTGAGTCATAGAACTTCAATGACTGAAATATCAGTCATCCACAGTTAATGGGTTAAGGCAAAATCAGAGTAAACTGCTGATTTGGGCATCTTGAAACAAATTAATATGAGGATGTAAGTGTCTGTGACAGCGTTAATTACAATATTAACTAAAGACAGCAGAATAATACTCTTCTATACATATTTTATATTTTCAAATAAAAAGATTGAAAACTCGCAAATAAGTTGAACCAAATTACAGACATTCCTTTTGAAAGTGACAAGAATAATACTGAAACTAAAATACATTCTAGAAAAGGTTTGTAATAATGATGAATAGTATGTAAATTAACTGAAAGCAAAAGTGAAATTACATTTGTTTTTAAGTGTAAATACTAAGTTTTGGTGTTTTGAATTGAAATACTGGAAACAAATTATTATCCTCTCTTTAAACAATGTAAAACATATCATTTAATCTCTGACACAAGATATTTTTCACAAGACAGTGGTAATATAACAACAAATTACCTGTATTGTATATTGTATGCTAATTTTTAGCCCACAGTAAATCACACACAACAATTACATTACCATCAAAAACGAAATAACTACATTGGGTTATATATACCAAGCAGGTAAAAAAATACCAAAAATAGCTTCTGCTTCTGAAATAATGTTCCATTTTTGGAACTTTAATAATCACTCTGCAATCTGAATTTTATTTGTGAAGCATAATTCAATTATCATTCTTTAATAAATTTGTTATAAATTACTGACAGTCACCATTATCAACATCAACAACTGCAGTTTTATCAACTTAAATGTCTGAGTATACTTCAAAATTTCAGTATTAGGTTAAGCAAAATATTAATAAATTCAAAAGAAATATGAGCAATACTAATAGCAATCATAAACCTAAATTGAATTAACTGTTGTTTCAAATTTTAAAAGTTAGTGAAGAAAGTAGCATAGTTAATTTATACAGAGAATTTGGATAAGAAAGTCCATAAGCCAAAATCGTTTTTTCAACATCTGATAATTTATACTTAAAAAAAATTACATAATACAATTTGAGGATCATCTAAAAATTATACTAGGAAGTATCACTATTGTTCTAAACAGAATTTGTTTGAAAGTTTATCTTAAATACAAGTTCACATTCATGAAATTGATATTGTAAGATATGATACATATTTATGTCTTAAGTTGCACTTGAAAGCTTTAAATTGAAGGAAGTAAAAAAACCTCACGACTCATCAAAATGCAATTACACAAACTTTCATTCAACAGTTCAAGCTTAAAATTAATCTAAATCAGTCACACTGCTGTTGCAACTAGAGGGGCACTCAGTAGAGCACATACCTCCACCACACAGCGTTGATCATATTTGACTAAAAAAATACAAAAATGTGTCCATATGTCCATCATTATCAATGGACATGGACCATTCTTAGCAGAACAATGAGGAAGAATATTCTACATAGGTCCACCAAGAATAAAAATAGTGTGAAAAATCGATCCCCATGCTAACAGATAGGGATTTTTAGATTTCTGTAACCTTGCTGTGACTTTGACCTTCCAAAAACTAATCACTTCTAAGTTTGGTCATTGTCCAAATGTATTCCAACTTTCATCCAAATACATTCAGCTATTTTCAAGAAATCTTGCTGGCAAATATAGATGTGAAAACATTACCTCTGTCCACCTTCGGTGGCAGAGGTAAAAAGCATTCTCAGGTTTTTCAGTAATTTCTAGTGGTTTACCAAAGTACCTTCAAAATCACCATTCAGAATTAAAATAAAGTATTTTTTACAGCTTTCATTACAATAAAAACATTTCATTATAAAGCTTCATGCATTCAATATACAAGTTTCAACATTTTTACAATGCTGATAAAATTGTTTCTTAAATGCAATATGACATATATTCTTGCTGGGCCATTTTAAAATCACTAGTATTTACCGTTCACTTTCAAATGATATAGGAAAACTGTTTTAGGTAACAGAGAATTAAACAAGAGTTAACATTTTTACAAACAGAAAATGTTTATTGCTTGTTTTTTCATCTCTTAGTTTAATCACGTAATATGATTTACCTCATTCTTCCTGGTAGTTTCATTTCTTGATGTTCCTGCACCAGGTCGACTTGAGGAAGAATGCCCAGACAAATTAGTGGATAGTTGCGAGTCATCACTTCTACTAGAATTTAAATACATCAAGTAATTACACTGAAAATGGATATTCTATATAGCTACTTACAAAAATAATGTATAGTGAGATACTTAATGGTATGCAGAGTTTAACCCTAGAATTACAAAACCATTGTTTTTCTAAACACATTTTTCTAAACTATTCATGCACCAAATTTCTTGGTGGTCTAAGATTTTGTTAATTACAGGGTTTTTAATAATGTACGAGTCACATATGAAAAATAAAATTCAATAATGCAATTAATTCCACTGATTACTGATAGAAATACCCTGGGTATTTTATATACAAAAATGAATGATTTTGTCTAATTGTTTTGGTAAATTCTTTATATAGTGTTATAAGGTGCAAAATACAAAATAAGTCAATAAATACAATATGTGGAATCCAGCAATAATGAAAGTTATAAAAACAATTTGTCAATTTGAAAGTTAATTGTCCAAGTGATGTACTTCAAAAACATAACTACTCAAAATTTAGATAAATCAAATATTTAAGAACAAACTACATCTATTAATTAAACAACCAAGTATAACTTTTTTTTAAAGTTGAAAGATAAACTAAATAACAGTTCTAAGAATCAGTTGAAGCCTTCTAATAAAAATATTGTCTTTCTCTGAGGAGATGCTAAACTTTTCAGTTTAGTTTAAAATTTTACCTAATGTTGTGAGGGTTCTGTTGTACAAAAAACAACAACTTAGGCCAGCTTAGAGTTCAATGGTTTTATTAAGGTGTTAAGTGAAAGTGATAGATAAATTCATATTATGGCCAGCTCAGAAATGCAGTTTTGAGTAATGTTAGAATTCATCAGTTCAAATGAGTAAGGATTGTTTGGCAATTAATATTTAAGTGTATTTGAGAGGAAAGACACAACAATGAATTGTTGTAACTTACCCAGAAATACAGTGATTATAAAGAAAAAAAGCTATATTTAAAATGGTTATATCTTTAAAAAAATAACTGCCCTAGGTGTACTAAATAAAAGTTTTCTTATGTTGCTGTAATCTTGCTCTGACAAACAGCTAAGAGCCTGATGGTGAATCATGTGTGATCCTGCTTTAAAAAACATTTCAGCTCTCTAGTAAATTAAAACTTTTCTTACCTTGTGCATGCAGTTTTACTCTGAGAAACAGCTGGAACCTGTTGGTATGGTGTTGATTTGGTTTTGATGTAAACAGCTTTGTCCCGCTCAGAGTTTCCAATATTTTCATAATCCCCACCAGTCTGTGCTAATAAATAACTACAGTTTTGTAGCCCACAACCCCTAGAATAACAAAACACAAAGGTAATTCCTTCACCAAATCAGTAAAGATTACTAATTAGGCAATTAACATGCAACTATTCAAACAAACAAAAGATGCAGAAGTAGCCAATTTCTACTGTCAATTATCAAAGTGACTTTACCTGCTAGAAAACAAAAACAATAAATGTGTGTAATATATAATTACAGGTTTGAGTTTATACAAAGTAACAGGTAGATAAATTAAATTTTTTATACCGAAATGCCTGTATTACCACGTGCATGCATTACATATAAATATTTTTTTTTTATTCCTGTAAACTCCCAGTGGAGCATAGGACCGCAACAACACCTCGCCAACGAAAGGTGTTGTTGCAGTTACTTGTAGCAGGTTGGTTTTTACGGGGTGGAGTTGCTAACCCCGCGCTCAACCCTCCTCCTTTCTCATCCTGGACTTGGGGCCAGGCAAAGGCAGAGGTTGGCATGTTTGGTGTGACGGGGATTCGAACCCGCGACCCTCAGATTACGAGTCGAGCGCCTTAACCACCTGGCCATGCCGGGCCCACATATAAATATTACTTAACTAAAAATATAATTTTGATTGTATGCCACTGTTTTTTTGTTTCTAATCAACTCTCTCCCAATGTAATTACAAAAAAACGGGCTATTTTTACATTAACCCTTTCAGGACAGGCACCTGCAATTTGCAGGAGGGGTGTATGGGAATTTCACTTGTACACCAATACATACTTTAACTGTGAGATTTCTTAATGTGTCCTCATAAAAACTTGTAAGATTTTGTTAAAGATTATAAGTAGCTTGTACACAAAAAATAACAACACCTTAATTTAGTGTTTCTACTAAAAATATTTATCCATTGTAGTGATCTAGGTGATTTTCATTTTCAGAATAAAAATACTTTTCTTCATCTTAAGAGTTTTCATATTTTATTTGCATAACCTCTAGAACCTCCTAAATAAATATCAAAGTTTTTAAGGTAAATGTTTATATTTAATTTTCTCTACCATATCACTAACTGTAGATATTATCATCAACATACAGTGCAATGAAATGTTTAAAATTAAGAAACAGATAAATGTGCATACCTTTTAATTTTTTAAATATACTGAAATATTTACTTCTGGTGATATTTGTAATTTCAGGTCTTTTCCTTTCCACACATACTTAATTTTTAATGTTTTATTTTTTCCTTTCCTGTCCTTTACCATTTATTTTTCATTTCGACAGAAGTCAACAATACCCTTGAGGCATATTACAGTATCTTTGGGAGAGATGCACAACCCCTCAGCAAAATTATCTTACACTCGTGCAAAATGGTAAGCTTTGAGAACTGGGGCAATGTTTAACTCTCTCAACACGGCCTCAGTCGATTTGACCGACCATATGACCTCTTTTTTACTCGTACAGTTTTATAAATTTGTTACTACTAATTTCTAATATAGTATGTATATCTTCAAAAAATTTAACAGTCTTTCAGTAAACATTACAAGTCTTTCACATACAAAAAATCTTTTTTTTTCTGCAGTATTTTAAATAAACTAAAAAAAAGGAGTATTTGTTTTGAATAGTCCATGTGCAAAGTAATTTTCATGTTAAGATTAAAAATACTTTTCTTCATCTCAAAAATATCAGATTCAATTTGTGTAATCTCTAAAACCTCCTAAATACATTTCAAATGTTTGTTTTTAGAGTAAATTTATATTTTCTTTTATTTTCTCTACACTAACTCTATACAAGGTTGGTCAATTTGACTGACTTCGTAACCACTAAAAAAAAAATCGAAATAAATCAAAATTACTCTTTTATTCCTTCCAGAATGACTTCAAATTGTAATATGAAATTACATTCATTTATCCTAAGTAGCTTTAAACTCATAACGGCATTCAAGTATTTATAATTAAATTTTATTGTTTTATTGTCCTTTGAACCATGTCCAACTACTATTCGCACCATTATAAGTTGTAAATCACTTGGGAAACGTGGAGCTCATGTTACACTATCGAATTACTTTACCCACAAGCTGCTCATGTGGGTGCCCTGTGAAACATTTTTTTATATTATTATTTATTTTTACCTAATCTAACCTTAACTAACCTAAAGAGATCCCTATTTTTACATTTTAGTTACTTTTCTAATAATAATAAATAAAGAATAAACATGAAAAACAAAAAATAAAGTATTTACCAGAATCATCGTTTTTCTTACTGTCTATTACACTAAACCCTACTTATTTTTTTTAATACTAATGGTAGTAATGCACTAAATAATTCTTATTTAATTAAATAATGTATTGAAGATCATAGAATAATAACATGCAAAAAGCAGACAATTCCCCTAACTATCACAATTTCTCTGGCTTTCTAACTATGCAACAAGAGCTATTACAAAGTCATCCAAGCTAATCATTATCTTTCCTGTAGGAACGGAGCTTGTACTAACAATGAAATTGACAATTCTCTATTCAGAAAACAATGTTATATAATATGTCATTTGAGAGATGAAAATCTTGACTTTCTATTGGTTATAGATAATGTAGAATTAAACGTGAGAGAACTATTAACAAGTCCTGAAAAAAGAGGATGTGACAAGTGGATGTTGCAAAAAAGAGTCTGATTTTCTATTTGATAGCTCTGTAACCAAATAAAATTGAAGGCTATTAAAATTATGGTTTGTTTGAGCAATGATGATTTTATAGTGAGTAATTTACGTTGACTTTTGTATTTATTGGAGGGGTGGTAATAAAAGAGAGAAGAAGAGATGCCTAGAGAAAATGTGTCACACAAGGAGAAATTTAGGATTTTGTTAAATATTGCCTTATAAAATTAAGAAATTAAAACCTATGTACTATTAAAATATGGATTATTAGCTCAGATTTAATGCTATACTAATTAGTATAACAAACAAAAAGTAGATTAATAAAATTTTGAGTGTAATTAACTAAAACTTTGTGACATGCACAGAAAAGAATGCCTATGATGATAGAGTTAAACCTTCCTATTATGCATTTTAAAACACAAATAATACATAATTAACTAAGATATAAAAGCAAAACCTGAATACAATTTAACTGTCTCTCTAATTATAGCATATTTAAAAAAAAAAAAGGGAAGTGCTAATGTGGATAAAGTAGCCAACAAAACTACAGGCAGTTACATATATATACCCAATGATGAAAACTGAGTGCCAATTTCAAAATAACCACTATTGAATTACAGTGTAAAATGAGCTCTTTCTAATGACTATAAACATGTATATGTAGCAAGTATAAGTATGTTATAAAGCTCAAGTGTATGCACAGTGAGCATGGCACCCATCAGGAGGTTGACAAAATTTATTGTTTGTTTCCACTGCATTCAAAAACAGAAGTTTGAAACTTGCGTGTCAACGGGGCAAGTAAATGTACTTAATTTTCTAGATGTACATCTACAGAACAGGTGTTATCTGAATCAAGATAGTGAATGCGAAAGTTGAGATTTTTCATAGCTTGTGGGTCACATGACAATACTAAACTGAAATTTAAGTATATTTTTTAAAAGTTTCTTTTGAAATAAAGGTATTAAGACTTAGATAACATAAAACTTTAAATCATAGCATCCATTATAATGTTAATTTAATTCACACACATTGATAGTAAAGGTGTTTAATTAAATTTTGAATGCAACTCAATTGCTTGCACAGAAAAGTGTTTAAAGGGGTACCCGTGGTTAAAGGTTTAATAAATATTTTCCCAATAACATGACCTAAATAATTTTCAACACGAAACCCTTGACAATGTTACTCATCATTGGAAAAAATACTTCCATATGAGAAGATGACCTAGACAAATAATAATGAACAACATAGGACATGTCTATCAACTTCGATATATTATTCAATATTGTAATGAATTAATAAACAGCTTTGTTGACTTTTAAAAAAATTATTCTTTGAAAAAAAAAAAATTAACAACACTGCACAAAATATTCTGCTTAGAAAAGATAATAAGACTGTGTATCAGTTTCAGTAGGTTTTTATTTTTAATTTTTCTTATTTTCCTAAACCTGAAAACAGGTTTTAAAATCACTATGGAGTCAGTAAATTGTGTCACACAACTATTATTAGCACCCATCTTACAATAAGAGACATATTTTCAGAGCTTGGATGTATTGTCTAAAATAATATTAACCAAATAATATTTAAACCTGTGTCATGCAATTTATGACTTTTTTGCATTTTAGGCAGCTAAGCCTAATTCCAATTTTCAAATATTGCTTGTAAACAAATATGGCATTTAATAATTTACAATTTTCTCTAAAAAAAATATGTGACTGTTTCCAATTTTTGTCTTTTGCAATACAAGTAAACTCTTTCATGTTTTAAAGTAAATGTCAAAAAATATAATACAAATTTATTAGCTGGTTGCTCATTCTTAAACATCACTTGGCACACTGTCAAAAAAGAAGTAGATAGCATATCTGCCAAACATTAAGAAACTGTATATGTTCACAAATAATTTATATATTTTTCATTTTACGTACACATTTATAGACTAACATTCAAAGTGAGCTTTTAACACTCATGTACAGGGTTCAGACAAATTATATTTCCTGAAGGTCTATGTAAACAGTTGGTTACTTTCTTTTGCATAACAGAATAAGGTTTTGTTTTAGTACAAAAAAAACACAAATTATTATAAACTTGCAACACCTGACATGAGGGTTTAGCAAAAGTTGTCTCATGCTTATGGAATTCATCTTTCAACTTCTTAAATTTCCTATATAGTGTAGAAGATATACAAGAAAATTAAAAGCAGTAAAACAGTGAAAACCAAGAGTAAAGAAATTTCCCTGAATGTCTTTTATATAAGAAATTCCTTATTTTAATATTTTGTCTTGAACATCAAAACTAACCTGCGAGGAGTTCGATCTGGTAATGGAGGAATAACTGTCACAGAGACTGTCATAGATGTTTTTAAGAGATCCACCATTTGATCATAACTTAATGTGGCTACTGCAACTTTGCATATCTGTAGAAAAACAAAAGCTTTTCTCAAAGTTACAGGTTTGCATACACAAAAAAAATACAATAAACATTTCAGTTACAGAGAAATAATAAATGACATCTTGCTGTTACTTCAATACAAAATAATATAAGCATTTTGATATAATGCTGAATACACAAGAACAAGAGAAAAAGAGCAATATGATCACTTCTAATATAACTCAAATGTTACAACAGATAAATCAAAAACTGCAACTTAAACAAAAAAACATGCTTAATAAGCTGTTGGTCCATCTAGGCTGTCCCCTCCTCTAAACTAAACTAAAACTATTAAATACAAAATATAAAATCCTCAAATCCTCATATAGTTTAAGTTTTCTCACTTAAATCTACTGCATCCATAACATCCAAATGCAACACATTCCAAAGGCCAACCACCCTGTTAGAAAAATAAAACTATCTTAGCTAAGATGACTCCTACCCTATCAAAATTTATATTTGTGTCCCCTGGTCCTTGTCACCATTAAGTATGAAAAAAAAGATGATGCATCAATACTATTAATTCCCTTAACAATCTTAAATACCTCAATCAGATCCCATCTAACTCTTCTTTTTTCAAGAGAAAATAATCTCAGAAATCTTAACCTCTCTTCACATGACAACCCTTCCATCACTAGTACCATTCTAGTAGCCCTCCTCTCAATCCTTTCCAACAATTCAATTTCCTTCCTATGGTAAGGAGCCAAAGACTGAAAACAATATCTCAAATGTAGCCTAATCAGTGATCTATACAATAAAATTATAGCCTCTTTAAACTTCTATTCAATATTGCTGTAGATACAACCTAAAATCCTATTTGCCCTAACACTACGAAAAGTATATTGCTTGGATGGCTTAAGAGACTGAACAACCACTACACCAAGATCCCTTTCTTTCATAACACTGTTAAGATTATTCCCATCCAAATT